CCACGACTGTACATTCATTCGGGACTGTGAATTGACCGGTTTTGAACTCAGGACCTGTAGATTACAAGTTAAGTAACTACTGACCCACAGACTGTCAGTCCAGCAGACATGTGATGAATGCTCTAGTGTTGTTCACATCTATACTGATATTAAGCGAAAATATTTGTATTTTTGTATATTTTGGAATAACTCAAATACTAAGCCTGTTTTAAACTTTGCACCATTAAAATCTGAGTTATCAGTAACATTGTGTTTTAGTTTCAAGCGGACAAAGTCGCGTGCGATAGCTTGTATATTCGTAAGACAATGGTTTAGTTGTTTGATTTTGGTTAGAAATCCATGTCTTACGATCATCATGTTATGTTTCTTAATTATTGTACTAACTTTCTGCGCGACCCCGTCTGCGCAGAATTAAAAAAACTTAGTAAGTAGATAATATGTTCGTCCGAACGCTCTAGATTTATGCTTCAAGTCCCTTTAGTTTTTTTCTAGACTTTCTTAATAATATTAGTAAGATTTGATTATGTTTGTTTCCAGCGGTCGCAAGTACTAGGAAACAAGATCGAGATGGAGATCACGTCCCTGGTGGAGCAGAACCCGACGCTGCTGCGGCTCGGCCTGCACCTCGAGTACAGCGACGCGCGCCACCGCGTCGCCAGCCATCTGCAGCGGAACATCGACAGAAGTGAGTACCACCCACTCATGCACTCCTGGTACTTTCACACCGACTTGTATCTATTTATCTGTATACTGTTTCCATTATTGTACGACATGTTATAATAAATATGTATTTTTTATTGAATATAGTAGAAAAACAAAATGTTTAAGTATATTTTGATAGTAACTACCTACATGTATTTATCTGCCGTTAATGAAATCTCAATAGAAGTGGACTGTTTCCGTGATATGGTCTCCTGGTACTTTTAGGTGGTATTGCGTACAGCAAAGTAAGTATATTAGGTGTTTATGGTTTTAAAAAGGATCTTAGATGCAGAATTTGAGAGATTCTGAGCAAGAGGTAAGTTTTAAGAAAACTCCGTCTGTAGTCTCATTACTTATGTAGTCCTGGTAACATACCATACCATTTATGCAATTTTATAGGAGACATTATTTTTAGATTTTGAATATTCTTGTTTAATATGTATTATTATAGGTTTATTATGTGTTATTTTATACTTTATATGTATGTAATATTTCTTTCAGTTTTTATATATATCTTTTATTGTTCGTGCATATTTGTCAAACGCATATGTCATGAGGTGGAACATTGTCAGATGTGTCGAAGTTCGTGTCATATATCGTGAGCTGTTCATACATTATGTCATTGTACAGATGGCGCTATGCTCCGCCGCAAAACTGCGCCGCGCCCTCT